GAGACTGTCACACTTGGCTATGAGATCCAACCAGAGGTGGTAAATTATCCCTGAGGAGGGCAGTTTGCAGGGAAGTTTTAAAATTCTGAAAGAGCCCAACTCTCTGAATCCGGGTCTGTGGAAATGAATTTTTTTGGCATCTGTTTTTAATGTCCTGTGATGTGTGGGTGAAAAAGCCAGCAAGCTAGACTGGTAATTAATTTTCCTGACAGAAACACCAGACAATGAAATTACCCTGCCACAAAGCAGGGTTGCTAAAGTAAATACTCCACCAGCAGCAGGCCTGAGAGCAGGACGGGGTCATGTGTGAGGTGCAAGCAAATGATGAGGTGGCACTGCTGCCTCTGGGGACCTGCAGGTGCTGCCAGCCCTGCTGCCCAGGGCACCAGCACCAGAGCTCTGTGGTGTACACAGGCACATTCAAGCTGGACTCCAAAGGATGGGGACTGACTGGACTCACTGCTGAGCTGAGGAGCAGGTCACCCTTTGCTGTCCAGGCAAGTAATTTGGCTGGAAACAGGTAGGGATGTGGAAATGGGGATGGGATGGCTGCTTCTGTCCTAGAGATAGAGGCTCTTGGCAGGGCTCTTCAGTCTTTCCCAGGCTGGTGGCAAGTGGTTTCTAAACCTTTGGTGTGATTTGTGTGAGCTGTAGAACAGGTTGTGCCTGTGCGTGCAGAAGGGGAGTCTCTTTTTTTGGAAGACATCGAGGGCAGCAGCTCATGGGAGAGGAAGGACAGGAGGGCAAAGTTTTCTGTTTTACTTCTGTGTGTCTTGTACTGGAGGCAGGAGTTGGCTGTGCCAGGAGTGTTGCAGATGCACAGCCAAGAAATGGGCGGAGAGCAGGAACTGGGGATGTTCCTGCATGTATTGAGGTGTCTGGCAGCTGGCTCCACTGTGTGCTGTCAGACAAGATCCCTCACCACAATCAAAAGGTTTGGTGAGTCTGTGTTAAAAACCTGTATTGTTGGTACAGAAAATACTTCTCTGTGCAGTCATGGAGAGATCTGCTGAAGATTTCAGTGCTATTTGGGAGGATCTGCTGCCACGTGAATCGTCCTTCCGATTTATGATTGCAATACTCAGATGTGCACATTTTTATAGGGCATTTTCCCTTGTTACACAGTGCTAGCAGCTGCAGAATGCAGAAATCCCACACAAGAACTGTTTTAGACGTGGAAACTGTTTTCTTTCCCTTTGGGAAAAAAAAATACACCATTTTTCTTGCTGAACTAAATCTGGATGCTTTTAGGAAAACAAGGGTCAGTTGAGGAGTGGACTGCATGTGCATTTTAGGACCAGAGTTATTTAATGTATTCATTATCTGTAAAAAGTGCTGGACCAGTAGTGAAGTGTTCAAGCATGCAGATACTACATACTGTCTTAGGTTAGGCTGCAGAAAAGAGCAAGGAGCATTTAAGGGACTTGATCTAGATTACAGAAAACATTATGCTAGATCAGTGCAGTACGGAAAGGCAGTAAACATTGGGAGAAAAAATGAACTATTTCTGCATAATTCTATGTCCTAAATTAACTGCAGCTTCTCTGGAGAAAGGACTGTGTGTCTCAGAGGATCTCCCAGATAAAACATCTGCTGAAATGCCTCGTGTCACTCCAAAAGCAAACAAAATATTAAGCTTAGGGAAGACTGGAACGCGAAAGGATTCTGCAAATAGTGTAAAATAAGTCTGGGGAATATCCTTGTGTTTTAACTCGTTCTAGGTCTGTTCAGCCTGTCTCCAAGCAGTCATGTCAGGAAGAGCAGTTGCAGGGTCAGGCAGTGGATTGAATTTGAAACATCCATGGGATGGTACACTGAAAAGGCAGAAGCTGCTGCAGACATGGGAAACGGGGCAAAGATATAAAACCAGCTTGTGGTAAAGGACAGGTGATTCAATCATTTCCATCTTCACCTCTAAACCAATCGATGTGAACAGAAAGTGAGAGGTGACGAATTTAAACCCGATGAAGGAAAATGAAGCTTTAAAAAGCTGAGCTAAGATGCTATTGAAAGCAGAAGGTTGCCTGTGGAACTCTGTGGTATAACATGTGATGGAAGTCAAGATCTCACCTTGTCTTAAAAAACTGACATGCTTATGTTAAGAAAGAGAGGAGTTGCATGTTAGATACCATGTGCAGAAGGATGTATGCATCCATAACTGAGTATAAAGAACAATATCCACCACAGTGGATAGTCAGAGGTATTCTGTCTGTGGAGAGGTTATTTCAATACAGAGCTCATAGCATCCTGCCCCAAAATGTTTGGCATTGGCCATTTCAGGCAGGCAGAGCACTGCTCCTGGTGACTGCAGCTCCCTCTTTCCCACAGCAAGCAGGAGGTATCTGCTGGCTGAAAATCTGGAATTCTGTGTGGTGTCCACTACCTGTTGTTCTTCAGGTGTCTTAATGACTATTTAATTAAGTTAACAAGATCTTTTTGTCTTAGGGCCACTCCCTCCCTCCCATGGAAAAATCACAATGATTGCATGAAGGCTGGGAGAAAACCTCAGCAAGTGGTGGCTGTGGTGTATGTAAGGCACCATATCACCTAGATGTAGCCTCTTCTCACAGGCATTCTCACCATTGTTAGAATTCATAGAATGAGTGATGTTCTGTTTAGTTGTACTCTTTGTGTTTAAATAATATGGACATAGATTTGTGCTTTTCTCCCCAATAGCAAAGATGGAAAACTTCTGCATGTAAAAAATAAATTCTCTCCTTACTACTTCAGAAAGTGGGGCTTTCAGGTAAACCCACTTGACAGCCAAAGACTCAGGAGAAAAAAAAAAAAAGAGATTTTGGAACCTCAAATTCTAGGTCATCCCTTCTTGCAGGGGTCTGAAGGTGTTGGCAGCCTAAGTGTGGGGAGAGAGGAGGGGAGGTGTGTGCTGCATATGACAGCAGTGCAAGTGTTCTTTTATGCACAGGGAGTTTTCCACACAAAATCATGTTGGGAGTTTCCCTGTAGTCCACCCCTCCACTTGAGTTAATGGGAGGGATCTGAAGTTGAGGCGATTTGTGGCTGAGTTCTCATTAGTGACCAGGGACATTTCCTTCACAATGTGGAAGGCAGGCAGGGAGAGGCAGATGGCTTTGAATGCAGGATTTACATAGTAATGAGATTCAGGTCACCATAGCTGTCTTTTTCTCTCTGCATTTTGTCTAGGTGTCGGGTAGTGTGTAGGGATGACAGGGATGACGGAATAGGGAGGAAAAGAGGAAAATTAACCCCTTGTTCATGAGGAGAGATTGCTGTTAAAATAAAAAGTTTGTCACAGTGGGCTAAAGAGCGATAGGGTATAACAATGACAAGCACAAATGAAGCTAGAAGGGGTAAAGGTAGCCACTTTCTAAGTTTCTGACTTGTTTTTTGTGGGAATGGCACAAAGAATTTGAACTTTAAAATCCCAGAATTTCCTGTAATTTTTACGTTCTGCATTGCTGGTTTAAGAAGAGGTAGTTTGGGACTTTTATCACTACAAGTCCCCCCAAAACTGAGGGAGTTTGTGGACTGAAGACAGGGCATGGATTCTTGCTACAGTCTTTGCTTCTTTGGAAAAAAATTACCATTTTGCTTGGTTTCTTGGCTAAAGACTTGTCTTGACATGACTATGTAATGGTGTGATTAAAACATAATATTTTCCACTGCAATTGGTAATCCTTAGTATGATCTCACTAGTGTCAGATCTTATCCTGATGACAAATGGGGAACTGGGAACCATGGGTCCTATTTCGAGCTTTGCTTGGTGGCACTTGATTTGCTCAATAGCCAACCATAGGCATTTCCAAAATATGCATAAGGGCCTGAGAAATCCCAAGGCTATATTTAAAATGATGAAAGTTTTAAATCAGTGTGTGTTTATTTTATCTGTCTTCTGCTTTTTTCTTTCTTTATAGTTAGAGGAGTATGGGTGAGTAAGTTATTCATCCTGCTGTACATCCCATGACACCAGAAGCTGGGGCTTTAGAAGCATTGCAAGAACAGGAGAGAAGCTTTAGGAGATCCTTGTAAAAATAGGAACTGTGTCATATAACTGCATGTGGACATCTAGGCAGAGGTGGGATAAGTAAGGAAGGTGTTTTGTGTATAAGGTTTTCAGTATTTGGAAAATATTTTTGGTTCTTTCACACAGAAGTTTTTGAAACGCAGAATGTTTGGGGCACATAGGCCAGGATTCATCTTGTCTCACCTTGGCCACTGGAGTTGAGAAGTTCATCTAACCTCATCCTCTAGTCCTTTTCAGCATCGATGGAGAAGGGTTCCAACCACCCCAAGGCAGTGGGACAGATTCCCCTGCAAGGGGAGGGACCAGAGGTGCTTTGGTGGCATCTCCTGGAGCCAGCAATAAATGCATAGCCAGAGAACTGCTGCATTTTGGCTGTTTGGGCTGAAAGGGGAAAGGAAATCTAATCAGGTGCCTGGGACAGACTGGGAAAGGAAGGCTTCTTGGCTACTTCCTCCTGAGGAAAAGGCTTAGGTCTAATAGATCTAATTACATTATTTCTTTGTTTTATTGTTACAGCCATTTGTTTAAAAAGTCAGTAATCCTTTTATACCAGTCCTGTAATGATTATTTCATGTCTGGCTGTTTGTGAGCCCACGGAGCTGTGTGAACAGAGGATGCTTCACCGCAGGGGATCTGCACAGTTCTCCACAGGACAGTGAGCTGGGCCTGAGAGCCTCGAGTGGGGGCCTTGATTGGGTGCCTGCACATCCACTTGCTGGATGAAAGCAGTGGTAGTTCCCTCCTTTACAAAATGCTGCCAGATGTAAGGCTGTCTCTTGGCTCTATATGGCCAGAGTACTCTTCTGTAAGGCTAAATATTCACCGACTGATGTTTGCTTAGCAGTGCCAGTGACCAGCGAGTCCCTCAGCTCTGTCACAGCAGTGACACTTGTTGGCGGCAGCTCTGCGAGTGTCACGATGGGCACCAGCTGCCCAATGCCAGCTGAGCAGCTCTGCTCCCCTTGCTGATGTTTTCTGACCTCTTTCTCTGCAGAGCCCCTGAAATCATCCTCGGTTTACCCTTTTGTGAAGCAATCGATATGTGGTCGTTGGGATGTGTCATTGCAGAGCTGTTCTTGGGCTGGCCCTTGTACCCAGGAGCTTCAGAGTACGATCAGGTGGGTGTGGATATTGCCCTGGGTGCTGGTAAGTGCACACATCTCTCTCTCTTCTCCTGTCAGAGTGAGCAGATGCCAACTTTTTCACTTTGGCTAATGATGGATCCGTATTTCTTGCTCTCCCAAGTCAACATTGTCATTATGCACCTGGGTATTTGTTCCAGGTAACCAGTGTGCAGCTTGGTACACTGCCTTTTAAGACCAGGCTGCCTGAGTGAAATCTCAGTCAAGAGTCAATGCTGCCATTGACTGGAGAGCTCTGTACATGTCCCTCCTCACTGAGCAGAGCAGGCACCCGTTCTCTGCTGTAACAGCAAGTGCAGTATAAAGCCTTATTTGTTAGAAGAAACTGCATGAACTCAGCTGCATTTCATAACCCCTTTTATGAGAGTGCATATTAAAAGCAATGACAAGAAGGAGAATGTTGGCATTGATGTAGGTTTCCAGTTAATATAAGCTGTCGTCCCTTTTCTCCCTATAGGCTTTCATGCCCTTTTTGTAGTCCTAAAACCGATAATGCAGCGGCAGCTAGAGCCAGGGCTGTAGAATACTTTGCATTCCCATAGTATTCAGGCTGATCTTAGCTGTCTGAAAATGCAGCCTGAAAAGGGTCTTTTTTCTTTCAGGAAATAAATTTTTGAAAAAAGGAAGGAAAATAAATAAATTTTTCACATACTGAAATGTTTTCTTGACTTTTCTTTTGAAACCAGTATTTTTTTAATCAGAGCTCTAAAGGTAAAATTTGGCAGCGGAAATAACTTGCAGCAAAGAGCAGGGCTATTAGTGACTCTGAAGGAAATCAAATGTAGCTGAGAAACTTACAAGCGTTTGAAAATCACATACCAAGCATGAAAAGTAGATTTCTTTCTCTTCCCCGTTGCACCCCAAAAGCCATAAAACACACAGCTGGAAAAGAAATCACCGTACCTTACTGGCCAGCTTAACTGCCCAGCACAAAGCTTCCTCTGGTAAAGTGTGACGAGGGCTCCTGGGGAGCTGGGGAAGGGGTAGGGGCTGATCCTGGCTGCTGGCTGCAGCACTGGCCCTGGGCTGCAGGCAGGATCCTGGTGCCTCTGAGTGTGTGTGAGCTCTGATGGACCTGAGAGGCTGCAGAGCTGAGCAAGCCATGCACCGTGACCCAGGGCCTGAGTGCTTGGAAATGATTGAAAACACGGCTGCTTTCGGTGCCTTTATGTAGCTGATGTTTTTATCCCTCTCTGTTTCTTCTCTCAAAAACACTTTCCATTCTTCCCTAGCGTTTTTGAGAGTAGGTGACTGGTTTTAGTAGTTTTGCAGAGTTTGCAGCAATTTTGCAGAATGAAGCCATGCAGGACACAGGAGGTGCCAAAGTTAAGGTTTTGTGTGGCACCTCAGGCATATGTGACATTGGTCTTTAATTGTGTAATCACAGACTCTTTTTCCTTTATAAATAAATAAAAGTTAGAGATCCTAGAAACACAAATAGTGTATCTTTTAGCTGTGTGGGTGCCAATGAGGTCATGCTTGTGGATGTAACCCAAATAACGTCATGTAGTCAGTAGAGACAAGTACTTTCCATACCATCAGTTGGTTTGAGTGTATATTTCACCTTAGTTCAAAGGCAGTCACTTCATAATCCTCTGTTTGGAACTTCAGACTGCTCCTAGGGCAGGATGTGTGCTCAGGTGGAAGAAAAATGGCAGAAGTTAGAGAGCCAATATCAAATTTCTGAAATGATTTCCTGGAGAGGAGAGGGTGCAAAATGTTGAGACATCCCATTGAAATCACTGTGTGGGTCCTTCTCTTTGAACTTTAAAAATTTAGGATCTTTCCTCTTTTCATCCTTAGGCCTTGTGGGAGTGCAATCTGAGTGTGAGTTTCCAGTGATGTATGCGATAAATGGAGGGAATTCCATTCAGAAATTCTCTTCCTCTCATTCCTTGCACTGAATTTTTTGGCGTGAAGTTTCTCTACATGCTACATCTTCTTTTTTTGTCTGTTCTGTTGGTTCAAATGCCTCCTGAATTCCTTCAAGGAAGACCTCCAGAGATCTCCACAGGATGAACAGTGACCTCTCATCCTTCTCTTGCAGATTCGCTACATTTCACAGACGCAGGGCTTACCAGCAGAGTACTTGTTAAGTGCAGGGACAAAGACCACGAGGTTTTTCAACAGGGATACAGACTCACCATATCCCTTGTGGAGGCTGAAGGTAGGAAGACATTCCCTTGCTTCTTTTACCTTGGAGTTGTTGGTTGGAAGCGAGGAGACACTCAGGTCACCTCAGAGCCTAAGTTTCTGCTTTTTGCAGTCCAAGAGAAACATAGGGGTGGGTACTGCCCAAGGTAAAACTGCCATCCCCAAAATTTGGAGAAAATAATACACCTGCTTGGCATTGTAGAAAATTTAAGTCCAGAATTGACCCTCTAAGTAGTCAATGATTTGGTGTGTAGTGGGCAGACTTTGCTCTAATAGCTAACTCATTGTGGAGGGACAGAAAAAGGCAACATCTTAATTCTACAGTCAAAATCTCCAGTAAAGCAGGTGAGCGCCGAGTGTCCTGTGCCAGTGGGTTTGGCTGCATGCTCTCCCCAAGGAGAGAGGCCAGTGGGTTTCTGGCTGGGATGGGATGCTGTACCTCAACACCAGGGTGGATGTAAGACCCACCATAGTTGGGAGGACCCTCAGAAGTGAAACAGAAGAGAAATCACATTGTGACATAAAAAGATGTCACATAACCGTGATGGAGATGGTGTAAATGGTGTCTGGTCAGGCAAGAGAGGCATGATGGTCCCTGATGAGGACAGGATGAGGCATGTGTGGGAAGTGGCACATAACGTGCAGCTGGTTGCAGGGCAGTGTTGGTCAATGCCTGTGTCCTGTTTTGAGCAGACGCCAGATGATCATGAGGCAGAGACGGGGATTAAGTCAAAGGAAGCAAGAAAGTATATTTTCAACTGTTTGGATGATATGGCACAGGTAAGAGCATTGGTGAGTAACCAGCAAAACTGCTCACATGCTTTCCAGCAACACTAACAAAAGGGAATTATGCAAGTTCTCTGTGTATCCTGTTCTGGGGCCAGCTCCTGAAAAACACCAGGATTATGCCTACCAAATTCGCTGTTATGTGCTGCTTTGTAGGAGTGACTGCACACAGGGGTATGGGTGCTGTAGGAAAGCAGCCTTGGAAAGTGGCTAAGGCACATCTCTGAGTGTTGAAATCGTGCATTTTCTCTTGTCTCTCCAGTGCTCTTCTGTATGACCACTGGCAGGTCACTTGCTTTCTCTATGCTTTAATATTCCCATTTGTTAAAGGGTGACAGTGGAAATATTCACCATGGCCACAGAAGAGTGTGCTGGCTGGGGGAAGAATGGGAAGTACTAATTCACTGTGTCAGTTCCATGTCGTTGTGAGAGCTAATCCCAGCATAACCACCCCTGTGACAGGAATTTGTGCTGACACACCAGTGTGCTAAACTGGTCCAGCACTAGCACCAAACTGGAGTTTGTGCTAGCAAGGTATAGACATTGTAGCAAGTAAAACATGTAGGCATGCAGGAATGGAGGACTGGAATCTGAGGAGACCGGATAATTAACGAAATAATATAACAAGTCTTTATTTCCTGGCACCTGATACATGAACGGGATGTTTCTCATAAACCTACTGACAATTTTTATGTGTTTTATATATTTTTTTTGCTCTTAGGACACATAGATAAGTATCTGATGGCACGGTATATGATAAATACTGTGATTATCAGAGCTTGCCTGCTACCACATGGAAGCTGTTCATCCTCAGTGGAGGGTGACTAAGTGTTTCATTAGCCACTGACCCAGGCGAGCTGAACACTTAAGAGTCTGTCTGGAGCTGTGACATGCACCAGCCAGATGAGCGGCCGCCATGGAACCTGGCGTGGTGTAGGAACATCGGGGGGTAGGACGGTCGGGATGGACGGAGATGAGAGATCTCTGCAGCCAGGTTATGGAACTTGGGGTTTATTGCAGAGGGCCTGGGTGCCAGGGCCCTGCTGGGAGCTGCCAGGCACAGCTCAGAGCAGGCCCGAGAGAAGAGAGGGGTAGAGAGGATGAGAGGGCAAGAGCGTAAGAGAGACAAGAGAACAAAAGCATAAGAGAGTAAAAGGGGTAAGAGCGTGAAGTTTTTGTTAAAATATAATAAATCTTCTTCTGTGTTGAATATTCTGATTCTTACTAACTAATCTAGTACAATATACAAATCCTATAGCATTTACATACAGCCAATAAGAGTCACTACATTACCGTACTGTGTTACATTTTAAACCCTAAAAACTACTCTTTGGACCCCTTCTGCCAACTAGTAGGGTCTGCTCTGAGCCTTGGACCTGTCTGCAAGCAAAGGGTATTGTTTCATCAAAAGGGGATTACCTTCAGTCCAGCCACACCATTGTTTTCCAGTTGTTCAGTAACTGAGGTATCTCAAAGCTTGCTTTCATTTCAATCTTGCTTATAGCTTCTATATTCTCAAAATCTTTCGCCAGACAATCACATTTATAAGGCTTTCCTGTTTCATCTTTCCCAACAGCGTGGCTCTTCAGCAGCCACTCCTTTGCACAGGGAGGCTCTCAGGGTGTGTGCTCCAAGGAGGAGTGAACACATTTTGCTGGAGACCTGACCATCTGCTCTTCCCCTTCAGCACTCACTGCTGTCCCTTCTCCTTCAGGTGAACATGACAACGGATTTGGAGGGCAGTGATATGTTGGTGGAGAAGGCAGACCGGCGGGAGTTCATAGATCTGCTGAAGAAGATGCTGACGATAGACGCGGATAAGAGGATAACCCCCATTGAAACTCTGAGCCACCCTTTTGTCACCATGACACACTTGCTCGACTTCCCTCACAGCACACAGTACGTGGCTTTTGTTCCCCTTGGGTTTTAAATGGAGGGGTGAAAAGGAGAGCTGGTGGTGGTGGAGACCAAGTGTATCTGAGGGGTTTTGTTAAGATGTTTAATCCCCAAGTTTTAATCTTTTCCTGCTTAAAAAGGAAAAGATGATTGCCAACTCAAGGTTGCAAGAATTGTGTTGTAGGTGCTTGGCATTTAAAACGCTGCAGTGTGTGCTACATTAATTATGTAAATATTCAGTAATTACATATTTTTGCATTAAAATGCAGGAGAAATTATGCAATTAGTGCTGAAAGTATCAGTCTATTTCAAAGTAATATAGTCCTGATTGTTACTGGAGTAATCAACCTTATCTGCAGTGGGGAGCCGACCCTTCCTCCCAGAACCTTCCCATCGTGCCAGGAGTCAGCTTGGGGCTGTTTGCTTTTTAAGGGAAGAGCTGATCTGCAGCAGGCTGTTTTACAGGCATAAGCACCAGGACGAGGAGTTCAAATTTCAGCTTGGTTGTTGTCCACCTGTGTCACCTTAAATACCATGTTCTGACCTCATCTGACACATGTAGAATGAGGACGGGCTCCACTGCCTGATGGAGATGAGAAGTCACATCTTCAAGCCTGACTGCCCTTCTCCTAAGGCTGCACCACAGAGCACAGCAGCCTGAAATGCAGGGTACCTGTCCCCAGCCCACTGCCCATGTCCAGTTCACACAGGGACAAGCTTCTCAGGTGTAAGTGGAGAAGGCAGACACGTAGTGGGAGTTTTACAAAGCATTCAGGACACTTAGCTTTGAACATCCTGCTTTACAGCACTTAGCAGATCCAGGTGCTTTCACAGGCTGTCCCTTCTCCTTGACAGGAGAACAATTATTGGCACAGTGCTGTACTTTCTTTGGGTGCTATTTGCATGAGTGTTTTAAAGGCTGTCAGGAGCTCAGGTACAAAATTAAAGGGCGCTGCTTGAAGAGCTGCAGAGCAACAGGTAACTGTGTCAGCTCCCCTGCCTGTATGGGTGGCTGCAGTATTTTGAGTTTAAGGTAGCTTTCCCCCTTTGAAGGAGCTGTAGCTGCCTTTTTGTTACATTTATCACAAGATAAGAGCATCTGCTTACCAGAAGGTAGTGGGTGCACGATCTGTGTAGACCCAGACTTAGCCTGCACAGCCATCTTTGAGCATTGTTACCTATAAATAGATAGTAAGTGATAAATGAAAACAAGATGAGGCATGATTGTGCTAAACAGGAAAAAAGTAAAGTTTCATATAAAAAAAAAATCATGAATAAAATATGACAGCGAAAATACTGAGTGAGCATCATAGACAAAAGTCTTTTAATTTGCAGCAGTCCTTCTGACTGTGCAACAACTGATTGTGTAAGATAGGAGAGATTCGTGAGCTAATGCATTGCCGTCAGAAATCTTTCCACTAACGCAACAGTCCGTAACCACATCTTCATTTTTGAAGTGCTCACTTGTGGCTGCTCAGGCAAAGCCCCAGAAAGATTGAAAATATCATTGGGGCCAACAGCAGTGAGAATTTTAGCCAAATAAAGAATTCAGCATCACGTCTCTGAATACCAAGTGTGTGCCAGCTGGGTGTGTAACCCCACAAGCCCCTCCACGCTGGAAACAGTGACTGGCAAAGGGAGCAATAAGCTGTAACCAGCATGGCAAGTGGATGGAGCTTTTGTTAGTGATTACTTGTGCTTTGGAGAATAGCAACTTCAAAGCCTTGAAAGATGCAGGGAGCTATAATCTCTCTTGGAAATAAATTGGGCAGCAGAAAAAGTGAGAATATACAGAAGCTGTAGCTACTGGGAGGAATCTCTGCTGTGGCACGTTTCAGAGAGGCTGCAAGTTCAAGCAGTGCAAGAGGGGCTGTTCTGCTTTCTTAAAAGCAGACAGCAAAGTGAGCTTAGCTTCCCATTTCACGTATTTAACTTCCTTGCTCTTAAATTGCTAAGTGCTCCTCAGACTTTGTCTGTTTTGCTTTGTCCCTGCTGGTTTTTTCTCCCACCTTTTTTTAAAGTAAAGCAGAGAACTTGGTGTTGCATTTGTGGAGCTTACATCTTGTTACATAAAACCATTTGGTGACACACGCTATTCACCATGTGCAAAACCTATACTCCTCCCAGTGCTTTCTTCTTTGTGCAGGGAGAATTATATTCACACTTGACTGAAAAGAAGTGATCCAATAGCCTTCTGTATTTATTTGATGAGTGTTTGATTTTGCTGGATATTCTGTGACCAACAGATATAGTTCTGGAAGTGAATGCACATAGTGGGCAGCTGTGCACAGTGTCCTGAGCCTTGCTTGTCTGCAGGTTGTTTATGGCCCAGATCCAGTTACCAAGATGTTGCTTGTAGGATAAGAGAGGTGACCATTTGAGTAAGAGACAAGACAGGGATAAAAAGATCTAGGTCCTCTTCATCAGCCTTAGGGATCATAAAAGGTTGTTCCTTCTGAAGGGACACTGTTTCTTAATAGTGATGTGAGGATATATCCCCTACCTCCAGCAGTTCAGCTCATTACAAAATGGTCAGCATACAGCTGATTTTCACTGCTTGGAATTTCTCTTTCTTCATGTTGGGATAATGGAAATAAAATAAATGCCTTTATACTTTCTGAGGTTGGGTTTCAGACTCTGAGGTCATTTGTAAAAACAGTTATTGTGTAAGAATTGTGGAAAACCTCTATTGGTTTTCAGATATCAAAAGTGAGGTTGTCCTAAAAATACGGTGTTGCCCAGGTTCACTGTGTTGCTGTCTCTTAACCTCTGTATGCTTTGGTATTCTAATTAATGAAATATGGTCATCTACCAGATGCCTGCTGTGCTCTAGCAATGTAGAAGTATTTAATCTCCTTTACTGGAGCACAAAATAGGATACTTCTCAAAATTTCCATTGCTATATCAGTAACATTTAAGGGAAAGGCAGTGTAGAGGAAGAAGCTGTAATCATTCCCCCAGAGATCCAATTCTCAGTGTGAGATAACCTCAGAACCAGATTCCCTCAGGGCATTGAGGAATTTGCTTTGGAATAACTTTTTGATATTAATTGTCCCATTGACTGCAAGAGGAGATGTCATGCTTCAAGATAAGCATCTGCACAGGCGTTTAGCCAGACAGGGGCAATGTTTTAACTACTTAGCTGAACTCAGCTCTTGGTGAACAACTACTTAGAACAACAAAGATGACTTTTTAGGGGGTCTCAGTGATCAAGAACAGTAAAATTCTTCCTTGCAAGAGACGCATAAAACTATCTTTACACTTACACTGAGGCAAAAAGCATGAGTTTTCTTTTCCTCTCAGGCTCCATCATCAGGAAAAAAAGTTTCTTTCTTTCTTGCTCTCAGTCTCTTTCAGTCTTTTAATATAGCCACTTTGTATTTCTTGGCTGTCCCCTAAAGAGCAACCAATTTGCTTGCTTTTGTGACTTGTATTGCAGTGCAGAGACCCGTGGGAGCACCCAGGAGTCCCAGGGCAGCTGCTCTCATCTTGGCCTTCTTCAGTAGAGTGTTAATCTGACTCTCACCGGTTAAGAGAGACCTGCATAAAATAGCAAAGGGCTTTAAGAGCCTAGAAAGTGCTAAGCCTGCCGTGGAGACCTATTGCAGGGCCCCTGTGATGAACTGTAACCTGTGTGAGTCGCTCAGTTGATTTTCCTGTGCCTTCCTTGTCCCCCTTTCCCCGCGCAGTGTCAAGTCCTGCTTCCAGAACATGGAGATTTGCAAGCGGCGGGTGAATATGTACGACACGGTGAACCAGAGCAAGACACCATTCATCACCCACGTGGCCCCAAGTACATCGACCAACCTGACCATGACTTTTAACAACCAGCTCAACACAGTCCACAACCAGGTAAGGCCATCAATCACAAGCAGCCAGCGCTTGAAACATTTATGTCAGGAGGGCCTAGAAGATGAAAAGCAGAGTAGCATCCCATTTAACATGCCTGCCAAGAGATGGTGCCTTTCTGCTCTCCTTCCTCTGCTTTTCTCCTCATTCTCTTTTCTTCAGGCAAGCAGTAATCTTGTGACATTTTGTGTGACGGTGAAATGTTGCCCTCGTTGTTTATGTTGTCGTTGGGGTGATAAATCCTGCTTACTTGGGAGGTTGCTATGGGGAAAAGCTCATTAGTCCCTTAATGCAGCAAGCAGTACTTCGCTCCCTGGGTCAGGCAGAAGTATTTGTGATCTTACAGCTCTTCTTCAAATTGGCATTGAAGTAAAATGAATTTAAACCCTCTGTAACAGACACAGCACTGTAACTGATCAACAGGAAAAAAGAGTTCAGCGATAATAGCGATAATATTTATTCTTATCTCTCATTGCTTTTACTCTAGGGACCACAGTTGATATAGGGACCATGTGCATGTGCCCCCCACTGTGAACACATTGCACTCCAGTTTGGTGGGCTCTGGATTTATAGTCATGCTTTGTATTAGTTTTACTTGCCCCAGTGTTGGGGGATGCTGCATTAACAGATTTTATGTGGCTAAGTTGTTTGCTGTGGTACTGTATTGCAGCAGTGAAAGGAAACTCTCCAGGGAGAGCACTCTAGGAGACAGAAGCTCAAGAAGTAGCTGCTGCTTTGAAGCCTTTTGGGAACAGGCTGCTCCAGATTCACTCTAGAGATAGCAGGTGGCATTGTGGAAATGGTGTTTGGAAAGGAAGGGAGCTAAAGGAGTCTGTATAGATGTGCAGGATGCTCCTGTGTCAGTGAGAAAACCAGACTTCTTGACTCAGGTCTTGATACATGTGATCACAGAAGGTCTTTTGAAACAATTCAGGCAGGCACAGACAGAGACAGGTCATGACTTGGTGTGAGAGGGTACCAGTTACAAACACCAGGTCCCTGTCTAGGCTGTTCCTGAGATGCTGCCTAAAGCAATGCATGCTACGTGCTCCCCTAGGCCCCAGCTGCAGGGCAGAGACACTGCTTGTACCACAGTTACTTGCAGGAAAGGCAGACTTGCTTTCATTTCCTCGCATTTCACTTGACATGAAGATCAGCTGTTGGCTGGGGAGATCCATGGTCATTTCTGAATTCTCATAAGGGGTGTGTGTTCTGAGCAGAACCAGTATGCCCAATGTTCCTAGAAGAACTGGCAGAAATATTTCCAGGAAGGGTGTTTTAATTTGAACAAGGTCTAAGCCTTTCACAATTCTCTTCAACATACCACTTGTCTTGGCTTTCGTTTCCTGTCTCTGCAAAATATCTGGGGATTGTCTCCTTCCAGTTATGGCTTCTGAGATCACAAGTTTGGGAGCTGCTGTGGTTGCTGCTCAGTGTGTTGCACAGGAGAGCAGATTGCACTGCACAGCCCCTGCACTGGGAGGAGATGAGGAGGAGGAAATATTTTGTTGTCACATCCTTCATGGCTGTGGCAGTGCAGTGTAGGTCCAGTGGCAGCCAGTGCAGTGCAAAATGCTTAGTCTGCTCTCTGCTGCACCTTGATCAAAGTCTCCTCCTGGGTTCATACATTCACCATGAGAAAGTGTTGTCTGAGCTATCTCCAGCAGTGTTGCTGGGCATGTTTGGACAAAGGGGAAGGATGGGCTCTGGTCTGCTGGTGTGGTAGTGTCTGGCTCCCTAGGCATGCATGCTAAGAATATATATGTGGAGCAGTGGCAAAGCTGTCTAGTTGCCTGCAACTGTTAGACTCGGTCCAAATAAATAAAGTTTTAAAAAAGTCTTCAGATTTCTAGACTTTTGCAGAACTCTGAGTTGATTTTCTTGGCTTTGAAACGTCCCCAAATGGAGTTTCTGCTCTAAGAGATTTTAAAGACAATTCGAGCGAAGTTTGGACTTTGCAAGTATTAGCATTACCTCCTGTTATGCCCTCTGATTACTTCAAATTCCAAACATAATTCAAGAGGCATGTTCCATCTTAGATACAAGGTATCTAAGAGGAAAGGCCAGAATGGATTTTCCCTCTCAGGATGAGATTTCACAGGGTATGGAGGTACTGAGTCTACTTTCCCTAAGAAATGTGAGTAGCTTCTGGAGCTATGTACATGAGGAATGAACAACGTGATTCGTGGATAGCAACATTTTCTGAGCTCATCCTCCTCATGCTGCAAGTCAGAGGCAGTTGGGTGAGAGATGGGGCTGCAGTTCTGCTGTAGGGAATGTGCTGGGTCTATGGGCTGGAGGTCCCATGGCATGGTACAGCAGTGGCACACTCAGGCAGATTGTGATCCTTCCCCCAGCACTGCCCTTGTCTCTTTACTCCTCAGTGTCCTGTTCTACCCCTTGTTTGCTGTTTTGTTTTGGTTTTTATTTTATCTTACGCGACTTCACTTTATTATTTTTTTGGATTTTGCTTCTTCCAGCCTACCCACCTCCCTCATTTTTTTGTTTGTTTTTTTTTTGTTTTGTTTTAATTCCCATCATTCCTTTAGACCACCAACCTGGCTCCCACCTCCTCCAGTGCCACTATTTCCTTAGCCAACCCCGAGGTCTCCATACTAAATTACCAATCTGCACTCTACCAGCCCTCAGCGGCGTCCATGGCTGCGGTGGCCCAGCGGAGCATGCCCCTGCAGACGGGAACAGCGCAGATCTGTGCCCGGCCAGACCCCTTACAGCAAGCCCTCATCGTCTGCCCTCCAGGCTTCCAAGGTAAGGGACAGCCTCACCAGGCCTTGGCCTGCTCCTTCAGCCAGCTCTTGTTGGAAATGAGTTTCCTCAGTGCAGGTCATATGGCAGAAAAAAGGGCTGGACTGGTAAATCAGAGCAGCGAGATTGTTGTTGCTTTGGCAGAGGATCTTGCAGGCACCTCTAATGTCCTGAGTTGGAGGCAGCTGATACTGAGAAGGGGCTGGGGCAGAATATGTGGTATTTGTCATTCTTTGCCCTGAACAAAGTTTAAGACTCTTCTGCCATACTTTGGTAAACTTGAAAGCTTTCCCACGCAATAGCAGTAAATCAGTACATATGTATGGAATGGGTCATGCTGTCACTTCTCAGTGACTCCACTGCTGAAAGGGGAACTCACAAGGGTAATGCAGCAGGGAGTGTGCTGCTGGTGGATATGAGGGTTCTCCCCCATAACAGATGCCATCACCATTTATGAGGGCAATTCCCTCAGCTCCAGCCTTGCTGCAAACAGCTCTGCCTGTGTATACTAGTGGTAGGAGCTATTGTCAGACAACTTGGGAGATGCTCAGTTTTAACCACTTGTCCTTCTGTTAACTTTACATGCCTTTGCAATTTGGGAAAACTTGCCAAGTGTCTGTAGGAAGTGGTCTAAATAGACCTCAGTTCAGCTGGTGCAACTTCTGCTCTTCATATCTACAAGCCTGTCTGTGCATTAGTCTCCAGGCACTTGTTAAATGTTCTGCAAGATTATCAAAGCTCTTTTGAACTAGAGAAGTTTAGCTAGACCTCTTCAGCATAGTTAAAATGCATCTCAAGGGTTTGACTTCAGAAGTGGAGGATATAAGAGACCATCCTCAACTTGCTGCTTTGAGAAGGCTCCAAAGTAGAGGAGGCAGCACAGGCTGTGCCATGCACTGAGGTGCTGGAGGGGGAAGCTTCCTCCAGCTCAGTTAGGCTAATGTGGGGCTCAACCAGCAGTGACTGGAGTTTGGGGTATGCTAGAGCCTTTCAAATATGAGTCCCAAGAAACTGTGCTAGAGAAAATAATCTGTCCCCATCAAGGCTGAGGGAGTGTGGAGTTCTGGATTCCCATCCCACTTTGGTGCAAAGAGAGCATTCTTATATAACAAGGGGTTTTGCCTGATAAAGACCATTTCTTGTTGTTAAACCAGATAATATGGGCAAGAGAAGCCATTCACTCCCCTCTTTTCCTTTTTGCCTGTGCACATTGTATTGCAATATTTCCCATGCGCTTGAGGTACCCTAAAATACAAACTCAGCTAATCCCTTATTGCCTTTGGAAATGTTTTTTCTGCACTCTTATACCCATATAATTTTTGTGAACATTTGCTGGACATCTTTGGGCCAGGGTGTAACAGGTGGCACTCTGATAGCTGATTATTCAGAGGGAGTGAACATTGCAATTTAAATGGACATCAGGGAGTGCCTTTAGGCTCCTCTGAGAGCCAGCCCCTGTGGCTGGCAGTGCTGCTGGTGGCTCATGCTGTCCCTTGTGTGCTGGTGGAACAGGGTTACAGGCGTCCCCTTCGAAGCACGCCGGGTACTCGGTGCGGATGGAGAACGCCGTCCCCATTGTCACCCAGGCTCCTGGGGCCCAGCCTCTTCAGATCCAGCCAGGACTCCTCGCACAGGTAAGGAATGCTAAAGGCACTGAGCTCAGCAGGTATTTACTGGGTTGTTTGGCTCTTGGAGGCTAAGGAGAGAAGCTTTCTCTGAGGGCCTTCTGTGGTGTAGTTTGGAGACTTGAGCAACTGTATATGGGTCTGCAGCTTTCTCTGAAATGTCAAAATCTTCCCCAGCTCATTGTTCAGCTCAAAGACTATGTTAGAGTTGCAAAAGCCACTGGAAAAACCCTTTTTCTTTCTGTTTTTCTACTGAAATCAGTGGGAAAGCCTCAGGGAAAGCAGTGTCAGGCCTCTGCTGAGAAGGAACCTATAATAACCTCCTGCATCCTCCTGAACTCAAAATCTTGGGGGTAGTTTGCAGCCAGGAGTTGCACTGGTGAATTGCATGCTGCTGATAAATGCATTTCATGCTTTAAGTTTTCACCATTCTGTTTTATGAGAACCTCTGCTCATGAGGTATATGAGAGATGTAGGAGGCAGAGGCAAGGGCCCCACACTCAAGGAGCTCTCTTGTCAGCAGTTCTTATTGGCACAATTCTCTGAAATGTTCTCACAGGAAAAGCATGGTTCCTCCTTAAAAAAAAAAAAAAAAACAAACCAAACAGGAATGGGTATTACTGATTACATGCACATCCTCAAGGGGTACCCCAGCTCCTCAGACCAGAGGAGCAGTTCATTCCTCCTTGTGCAGGCTTCAGTGAATCTGCCTCAACTGTTTTGAGCTGGCACCATGGTACCTCTGCTGATACCAGACAGGGAAAAAAACCACCTAGTATACTTGAAACTAAGTTGTGCAAGCTGAAAAAGATGACCAGCTAGTTACAAAGGCATGTCTCTGTCTCAGGCTTGTTTGATCTGCCATGCCAGCACATTCATATGCAGTCAGGAACCAGCAGAGTTCAGGGTTTATGCCTGCATGTTGCACTGCTGGGGTAAGACTGTTTGTGCTCTTGCCTGTTGTAGACATTTTTTTGTGAAATTCTTTTCTTAGGATTTTTTTCTCTTCTGGGAAGCTAAGAAGCTTCAGAAATAAAATGTAAACAGTAGTTATCTGCTGCTGTGGAATGCAACAGGTAGATCCGTGGTTGGTCTCGTGTAGATGTTTGGGATTAGTGACCAGTCACGGCAGAGCTGGTTCTCTCTCTTTGTCTGAGCTACAGACCTTTGTATTCATTCCTTTCTATTCTTAGCTTAGCTAGCCTTCTGAGGTGAAACTTTTCCTTCTATTCTTTTTAGTATAGTTATAATGTAATATGTATATGACAAAATAATAAATTAAGCCTTCTGAACATGGAGGCAACATTCTCGTCTCTTCCCTCACCTGAAAACCCCTGCGAACACACTTGCCTTCCTTTGCCAGCTGCCAGTCACACTTATCTGGTAAAGACAGATCAAAATGCAACTTGCAGCCTGTGTGATTTCCATCAGCCCTGCCCCTTCCCAATAGAAGAGCCTTTGTCAGAGAGCTGTCTGAAACATCAAACCAATCTCTGCTGCAGCCTGTTCTAACAACTGACATGGGCCACCTCCCTTGTTTGGTGGGAAAGAAGAGCCTTAAAGGCAGGGAGACAAAAGCCATGGCAAAGCAAGGAGCAGTCTGTGCAGGCTCAGTGGCTGGCACCTCTTGCTTGTGCAAGAAGTCAGCCAGGGCAAGTGAGTGAAGGAGGTCAGTGAGATAGCTTTACATGCCCCCACCATTCTGCCAGGACACACACTCTGTGGTGTGCTGTCCTTTGGGGCTTGAAGGGGTGAGGGTTGGATCTGAAACGTCTCAAAGACAGCAGGATCCTGAAGGATCCCAGTACCTCCTGCTCCTTCTTTCTTCTCGTGGTGGCTTTGCTGGGCTCTATGCAAGTGGGGAATGTTTGGTGGTAAAGCTCCTCCTGAGCACCCTCCTGCCCACAGGTTACTGATTTCATTGCTGCCTCTGCCACGTGAACACCTGTTTCATGGCTGTCCCATTTCATACCTTCTACTGATATTTCATTCACTGTCACTTCCAAAGGGGAATTCTGGCTGTTTCTGAGAATCACTCCTCACTTGCACAGACTTCTAATTTTTGATGCAATAAAGGAGAGGAGATGTGCCTGTTGCTGTGCCCGTTTGTCTCACGTGGTGAGAAATGCGAGCTGTCTCTGAAGGCAGGGTGCTCTGATTGATGCCCCTGGCATCTGGTGTCCGTGGGCCTCGCTCGGTTCGGGCCAAGCAGCTGCTCTGATAAACAAATCTGTACCCAATTCCAGTTTCCTGAATGGAAAAACACAGCTTCTTTGTGATGCATTGTAGTCACATCTGATCTTGGCGGCTGCGTGTCGCTCTCCCAGCCGAGAGCTGTTCCTCTCATGCACAGCTGCTTATCTAATGCTCTTCAGCCTGGGCCATGCAACTGCTGTGAATGCAAGAGGAACTGGCCCCAGCAGAGAGTGCAGTGCCTCCAGAGCCCCCTTCTGTCTGTCCCCTGCTTTATTTGTCCCACTGATGAGGCATGGTGCTGCTCCTTGTGCTCCCAGCACTGTGGAGTACTGTCAGGCTTTCTCCCCACGTGCCCAGCACATGGCACAGGTTTCCGTGTTTGCACTCCTCAGATAAAGCCTTACTGCATCCCAGTGCAGCTGGCATCCAGTTCCCTGTGCATTTTGTACAAGACCAGATGTCCCAGATGAGGGACAGAGGGATCCAGGGCAGGAGGCGCTGACAGAGCTTGAGCATCGTGTCTGGCAGCTGTGTGTCTGCAGCCTGTGGCATGGAGCTAGGCAGTGCAAGGCAGAGCAAGCAGCCTGCAAGATGCAGGGTCAGTGGCTAAAGTAACTTGTTTGTAACTTCTCTGGGTTTCCTTTTCATCCTCTCAAGCAGGTGTGGTCCACATATTGTATGCACAGAGACCAGTGAAAGGAGACTGATCCTGTCTTTACTCACAGCTCACTGCAGCTTCAGATTTCAAAAGAGGCAAAGCTGTACAGTTTTCTAGCAGGCTTCTATGGTGTGACCCAGAACTGTCCCCTGCCCTTGAATAACACCCTGGATTCTTGATTTTCTCTCCTTTTAACTCCTTCCCAACAACATTTCCTGCAGAGTTCCTGCCACTGGCTTTCAAAATGTTATTCTGTTAGTTGTTCCTGCTCTATGTCTGGAGTACAATCTTGGTCCCTTCAGGGGACCCACCAGCTCCTGAGGACAAGGGCCAGAGCATTGCTTCACCACCCCACCAAAATTTCATAGTAATGCACTGACTGGGAACAGGCTGCAGCTGCCAGGACAAGCCTTCCATGTGTAAGCACAGCACACAGTGCTGGTGGATCAGCCTAGACAAGTCTTATCTGCAGATTAAATGATTCAGTGGTCCTTACCTAATAAGTGAGGAATTTGTGCCTAGGCCCTGACACTGCATCTAAATTTATGCACTGCAGTCGGACAAGGAGCTTAGATTTGTTCCATTCCCTTCCTGAAAAGGGAGGAAGCAGTTGTGTCTGCAAGTAAATCCAGGTAGTCCCCTGGGATTGACTTCAACAGTAGTTCAGTCTCCTCTTTTAAAGCAAAGCTGAGGTAAAAAAAGGAAAGAGAATAATAAGAAGGCTTTTTTCTTCCCTGATCTTTTTGTGCCTTTGCCTCATCCTTTTACCTGCTCCAAGCATCACCAGTCCATGGTTGTGGCTCCCTTGATGAAGGGCTCTCAGGAGCCTTGTGACTCTCCATCCTTTGCAGATGTTGCTGAGAGGCCTCACTATAGCAGCCTTTTGATGTAACTCAGCAACACAAAAAGTTACAAGATGATCAAACTTAGGAGTAGAATTGGGAAAAAATGTTTTTTTTGCAGGGTGGATTGTTTTGGGGTTTGTGTTACTGGGGGACAGGAGGGAATCATGGGGACAGGGGGGAATCATGGGGACAGCTAACACAATCCTTGTGAGGGTGGAAAAGGGGATAAATGCATGCCTGGAAGAAGCCTCCTCTCAAATTTAGCCTCCTTAGAGCAGTGGGATAACACAACACAGCTCCAGTACAGTAGTGCAGGTTGGGAGTAAGGTGGGCTGTAGTTGGTACCCCTGAGTTCCTCAGCCCAGCAGCAAAAAGCTGCCAGAGCCACATTTGGGCAGCACATAGCTAAGACAGTTTCCCATGTCCAAAAAACCATCATCTGCCTTGCATGGAGTCAATGGAGTGGGAGCAACCTGAGTCATGCCTGTGGCAGCACAGCTGGAGGGGTGATTGCATAGCAGAATGATGGCTCAGCTCAAAGGGCAGAGATTTTCCACCCTCTAAGAGGGGGGAAAAGTTGGAGAACACGTGGAGAGGGACAGGTATGCAATGTGTAGCTGTGCATTACTTGAGAAAGTAAGCTGGCTGTATAGAAAGGGGAAAATAACAATGGAGCCATAGTGTCTAGCTGGTCTGGAGAGTCAAAATTAGAAGGTGCTAAAAAATTTGATGTTCGGTTAGAAATGCCAGCAAGTTTTGATCCCTTCTATTCCCTGTTTAACCTAAAACACAGTTGCTGCTTTGTATGGCAAGGATTTTTTTTGCCCCTCCTTTGCATTCTCTATATTTATAACTATACCTGCTTATACTGTGGTTTCCTATCAGTGACTGAAAGGTGGTAAGAGCCGTGTAGCATGACCACGATCACTATGAGAGGCCCTAGATGAGTGTGGACCATCTCTCACGTTCAGTGCTCGATGCCTTTTGCTAAGGAATTGCTTTCCCTCTGTCTGGCAGCAAGCATGGCCCAGTGGCACTCAGCAGATCCTGCTCCCTCCTGCCTGGCAGCAGCTGACCGGGGTGGCCACCCACACTTCTGTCCAGCACGCCACCGTCATCCCGGAGTCCATGGCAGGCACCCAGCCGCTGGCAGACTGGAGGTAAACTGGGGAGGCTTGGAGGAGCCATGAGGGCTGGGGTCTTGCTAGGCTACAGGGCAGAAGGGAGAAGGGGGGCAGCAGCCTGTGACACCACTGTCTGACAGGTGTGGGAGACTTCTCTGCTCCATGCCCTTGGAGTGGAATGCTGTGCCCACACCACGCCTTCAGTCTGTTCCCTGGGGAAAAGGCTCCGTCCTGGGAAGGCTGGGAACCCAAGAGGCCCCGGAGGAGAGGGCACCTCAGTGAAGGGTGGTGGGAGGCTGCGTGGAGGAGCCTGCAATCTCACCGTGTGCCCGTGTCCCCGCTGTGCAGGAACACGCACGCCCACGGCAGCCACTACAACCCCATCATGCAGCAGCCCACGCTGCTGGCCAGCCACGTGGCCCTGCCTGCCGCCCAGCCCGTCAACGTGGGCGTCGCTCACGTCATGCGCCAGCCGCCCGCCGCCTCCGCCAGGAAGAGCAAGCAGCACCAGTCGGCTCCACGGTGAGTGCCGCGGCTCCAGCCCGGCCCCTTCTGACCTGCTGGCAACAGGAGTGCTCGCTGACACCTGTGGGGCAAAACAGGTTTAGTTCCACAGCTAGAGAGGGATTAGATCACACATTCCCTGATGGGGGTCTCTGCTGCCTCACCTCTTTGGTACCCAGGGGTGTTTTATACCCAGCAAGCATCGTTTTGTGTGGGAGGTAGTGGCTGGAGAAGATGCAGAATGAAGATGGAGGCTCAGGCCCTGTTCATACAGCTTGTTACACTGCTGCAATTACCCAGAGCCTTGTGGTCACAATGATTTAAAAACATAACCATATTCTCAGGTCAGTGTGACGCAATGCCCAGTTGCCACACCTTTTCTTCCCATGTCCTCTGGAAGAAGCACTCCTCAGGAGTTGCAGTGTTGCAGCTTGAATGGCTGCTAGCAAAGTCCAGGGTAAAGAAGCAAAAAAGGCATTTGCATAATATCCATAGATGTTTAATTCAGCCATGAGGTGAGATGTTCCCCTCTCCAACACCCACTCCCCCCCAAGGTCCTGCTCTGTCCCCCAGGGGCCTCCCAGCTGACCTTGGCCTCCAGGCAGCATCCAGGTGAGGCCCAATCAGGGAAAAGGGAGGGAGAGCCTCAGGAGCACCTCTGTTCAGGCATAGGAACAGGGGAAGGAGCCAATGGGGTGTAACTTAGGAGAAGCCCCTCCGGGGCCTCCACTGTGCAGCACGTGCACCTTGAGGAGTGTGTGCCTGATGTGCACACACAAGATCTGCCCTTTCAAAAGCAGTGGGGTGATGCCAGTCTTATGAGCTTTACTGCCACAGGGAGTGGAGGACTGGGGTGCCTTTAGGCCACCTAAGCTCTCTAGCTCCTAACATAGGTCATTAGCCCCTCTCTTCAACAGTCCACACCAGCAACAGACACCCATTATTATACCCTGGCCTTATTTTAGTCATGGCAGCATAAAACAGGGAGCTTTATAAGGGTATCTCATACAGAGCAGTCCTTAGCATGTCATCTCTCAGTAGGACCGTTTGGCTCTGGAAGTAGGAGAAACTCTGGGGTTTCTTGCACAGCTCGGATGGTAGGATGGTTGCAGTGCCTGTCACAGCACTGCAATCCTGTTCAGAGGACAGGGCTCATCAAGATGTATGTGCAGCTGCTCTGGAAAAGGTCCTCTGGGCTGTGCAAGTAACACACTTCTTTTTTAAAATCAAAAAACACAAAACATTGCAGGGGAGAGAACCAAAATGGGTCACCACTTGTGCAGTGGCAATAGCTTGAGCTTGTGGTTTTCCTGGGTGACTGGACTGGTGCCAGAGTGGCTCTGAGTTCACAACCAGTTCAACTCAAGTTAAGAGGCCACTATTTAAATCCTTCCCATTTATCTGCTCTCTAATGTTGCATTTACTTTGGGTGGGCTCCAGCTGTCTTAGTCTATTCATAACATAGAGAGGCAGCTCTGTCCCCAGCTAGCCAGCAAAAGAGAGTGCCTGTGTCAGCCAGTGTGCCTGTGCAGGGCCTCCCCTCTCCTGTCACTTTAGGGTGGGGTGGCTGTGTCCAGCAGGAATGGGGCACTCTCAGAGTAAAGGGTTTCTACAGCTTCATTGACTGTGACTCTTTTTGTGCCAAATGAGGAACCGTGCTCCTTTGGAGAGGAGGGTGCTCCACGCTCCTCATTGGTATTCAAAAAGCACTTTGAATGCTACTGTGCAGCCATTTGTTATGCAAAAGAGCCTGTGTAAGTTGGTGTAGTGTGATATACTGCCAGGGTGACTTCCTTTTGATGGATGCCACCTATTCCTTTTGTTAGCTTTCAGGCCAGGCTGAACATGCAGCCAGGCCCCACAGGAGAACAAAACCAGAACTTTGGGGTTTTCTTCCTTTTTGAATCTCCAGATGTTCTGCAATAGCAAAAAGAAACACAACCAAGAAAGGAAGTGTGTGAAATGAGTGAAATGGCCTTTAGTCAGTGTGCTTTGGTAAATAACCCCATCTGTAGACCCACACTGATAGTTTGGCTGATAGTTTTGTGTTTGGATCCCTGATCCAAGTGTCACTTTTCCAACTGGTCAGGCAGGGAAGCTGAAGTAGGAAAACTGGGAATGTTTCTCTAATGTGTAATAAATATATTGTTTATTTCTTTCTGATTTATATGTTGTATGCTGCTTCACACAGGAATGAAACTGAGTATATGTCCTCCCATCTGCCTGCTCTCATCTGTGGGACACCACTGTCCTAGAGGATAAAGTATTGAGCAGGAAATGTTCATTGAAAAAGATCCTTAAACAGCAATTCATTTCTGTTGATAAAGGCGGTTTTCCTGATAAGTGTTTGTAGTTTTCCATAACAAATTCTAATTTTACCTCTATTTTTTTCTGGCCAAAAACTATCATGATGAATCCATGCAGGATGCAGGAGGAAGGGATTATCATTTGGGTGGTTCTTCCTCCTGTGTCAGCCATGCTGTGCCTGCCTTTGTTCTGTGTGTCTAGGCTTTGTGGCTGGCCTTTACCCTCCCAGTGCAAACTCCTGAGAGGCAGCAGTTCTTATCTGGAAATTTCCGGGGAAAACAAATTTGAATTTTTTATTAAAATAAACTACTTCTCAGACAATTACATGAATAAGTGATGCAAGGCACTGTCTTCTTTGAAGAGGTGACCGTGCCAATTTTGCAGTTTCCCTGGACTCCATAAATCAGCGCTGCTGAACCAGGACTTCAAACTACGGCAACAGGCGACTCGAGCACGCAGAGTTCTAACCAAATAATGCCTTCCCTCATTTCCAGCAATGCATCCACCTATGAAGTTTCATCCTCCCAGTCCATCAGCTCGCCCCAGCGGTCGAAACGAGTGAAGGAGAACACGCCTCCTCGCTGTGCCATGGTGCACACCAGCCCTGCCTGCAGCACCTCGCTGACGTGCGGCTGGGGGGACGCGGGCGGCGGCGCGCGGGAGCGGCAGCGGCAGACCATCGTCATCCCCGACACCCCCAGCCCCGCCGTCAGCGTCATCACCATCAGCAGCGACACCGACGAGGAGGAAGAGCAGAAGCATGCACCCACCAGGTGAGCTGCTGCTCTCTGTGTGCAGGGCAAGGAGAGAGGGGTGTAGAAGTGCCGGGTTTGTTGTTGTTGGAACAGCTCCCAAGGTATTAGAAGTCTCTTTTTACAGCCCCACGCTCGAAGAAGAAATCGGGATTCCTCAGCTCTGGTCTTCAAGGTTGTTTATTTTCTCTTATCTAATACATGCTTTTTCAGACCTGCAGAGGTCTGTTCAGCAGGTCAGGTTGAGGCACACTGACCGCCCTTGGGGCAGTATTATCTTTTTATACTAAAAACTACGTGTTTATTTACAATAATTTTCCAATATCTATCACCTATGTTAGACAGTCTGTCTCTACCCTAAACCAATCCAAAAGTGCCAACATCACAGCAGAAGATGGAGAAAAAGAGCAAGAAGGAGAAGGAAGTACATGCCCAGATTCCTCCATCTTGCCTCCTGAACCCCCATTCTAAAAAGCCCAAAATTCTACATTTTCACCCGGTGATAAATTCACTATCATTCTGTTCAAACTTTTGTGGCTTGTAGCTCCTCACACAAAGTTGGTAATTGTTTCCATGGGTTAAAATCGAAGGCACAGGTGTCTTTGATTCCTTGCTAAGGTCTCTGAGCCCCTGACGGGGTCTCAAGTCCTCCAGGGCAGCCAGAGGAATGTCCTGGGTTCTGACATAGAAGTGGTTCCGGGGGCTATGTTTGCGTCTCATCAGCCAGGTTGTCTTTGATTTGTGAGGAAAATGACTAGCTGAGGACTATAGATTCAGGTGATGCTCCCTTCTGTGCTGTACCTCTGCTGTTTACCTTGGAGAAGTGCAGTAGTCTCTCATCTGTAAGAGGAAAGAGCAGTTTTCTCTATCTCCTTTTTGTGGAAAGAAGACTTTAGCTAGCCTATGGTGGTGAGCCTCTGGAAGTTGGACATCTGTTTGAAACAAGGACAGAAAGAAGGGCTTAGAAGGAAGGGACCTTAAATTTGCCTTTTCTCTTTCTAAGTGATCCAGGCATCCGTAAAGAGCATTAAATGACATCTTCCATATGTTTCTTTCATGTTTTCTTTCAAAAGCTCTCAAAAACAGCAGTTCTGTCATAAATACTCAATAATGATAAATATATTGCAAGAGAGTTGCTCAATCTTGATTGTGTTGCCAAAATATCTTTGAACTGTAGTAAAAGTGGCAGAAACTGCTTTCTGTCTGACTCTGCAGAGAGGCATAGATGAGGCTAGGAAGTGGGGGCTGAGTTTGCTCCTCAGAGAATTAACTCATCCAAGTGAACAGCACAGCCCAGGACTGCTGCCATCGTTGATCATCCCTTGTGGATCAGAAAGAACTTAATTTTCTAGAACTGTCCTTTCAGCACCTTTCATTACATGCAAGTGCTCTGGGTTTCCCATCTGATGCCAGTCACAAGATGTCACTCTGGTTTATAAGATGCAGAGAAGTAGCTTTGCAAACAGCTGAATAATTATACCATCTCTATATTGGTAACTGAGATAGGAAACTTTTAACCTTATCCTTCCAGTGTTGTTGAGAGAGGATTGTTTTTTACTTATTTAGAACTCAGTCTAAATAAGTAGATTTAGATTTTCCTTTAATCACCAGAGATACCTCTCTGTATCTCTGCATCTTTGCAGTGTGGTGATAAGTAAAGCCTGCAAATGTGCACAGAGCAGATGTGACACATTTGGCCCCCAGGAGCTAAAAATCTGTAAAGAAAAGCCATATGATTCAGGCTGGAATGTCAACATGCTTCCCAACAGCCACCACTATTTCCCATTCCTCTCTCTGTGCTAGTAAAACCACTGGGCAGTAAGGGCTCAGTGCCTCTCAAAGCCAGCCTTGCCATGAATGTAGTGGTTCACAGGACAGTGTAACATATTTCACTTTAAAAATAAATTTAAAAAAAATTAAAAATTGCCGCCACATTCCATGCTTAGATGGGGGAAGAAAGCATGTTCCAGAAAGAGTTGCATGAAGACTGATGTAAAAGTCAGGGGGACTGTAAATAAGGAGCCCCTACTTCCAGGGCTCTTCTGGGAAAGGAAGGGTGAGACAAAAGAGATGCTGAAAACTCAAGGGTCATGGGAGCTCTTTTAAAGCAAGTTTACCCATAGTGCTGATTCCAGGCTTTGGGACATTATGTGCAAATCCTTAAACTTACCATCTGAGTGTCATTCTTGGGTCCAGAGAGGGGTGAAGGAAAGAACTGGGATACTGCAGCCCCTTGAGCCAATGGTTCTCTGCTCTGTTTCAACTTTGCTTCCATGTGACTAATTTTGTTACTCAGCACCTCTCCAGAAAGACAGAACAAAGTTCAGGAACATGTCTAGAAACTGAGTTGAGAGTTTGAGATATTAAAAGATTAGAGTCTGCTGAAGGGCTTGAAAAGTTGTCCTGGGAGCCAGACATATATAAACAAACTGGCTTTGATATGACTAAAGCATATTCCAGACACGTTCCTGCCTGGGATCAGATCCCTGGCTACTTTTTGTATCCATATGGCACATCTATAGAGTGCCAGGGTGCCAGCATTCCAGAGAGGCCAGAGCTTAAGAGCTAGATTTAATTTCTGAGCCACATGGAGACACTATGTATGGACCTGAGTGAGTTAAATTTCCTGTGCAGATGTAACCAGAGCAAATGGAGAATCAGAGGTAGAGACACAGGTTAAAAACAGCATGGCCAGAATGAGAATTTTTTGGCTAAAGTCTCCAGGAGAGCAAAATCAATTTGCTCAGTACCTTTTGACATGGGTAGATGTAAGACCAGGTTCTCAGCTGGAGTGAGAGTGTAACTTCCAGTCAAGGAAGCTGTATCAGCATTTAATGCCAATGAACTTTGTCCCTGCTGAAGTTGTTTCTCATTGAAAGTTTGTCTCATTCAGGAAAATGCCTCTAAGTTTTCTTGCCTATTTTTTTGGCTCCAAGAAAAATGGGACTGACAGTGAAGTATGTGTTTAATGTAATCAGGGCCCAAAGGTTCAGGATCTGAGTAGAAAATGAAACCATGCAAAGAATGCATTGTCTGGCTCATATATTCAAATATTACCATATTGGGTAATAGCTGTGGTGTGGGGGTGAAAATTTCAAGGAATCACTTGAAACGTGTTATTTTTCACATCCTAGAAACCTTGACTTTTTCTAGGTTAGAATATAGAAATCAAATAACATTTGGCAGATCAAAGGTAGTTGCCTGATCACATCTTACTGATAGCAGTGGTAACTTTGCATTACCTTCCCTGGCATTGAATCAGCTCCTGAATTTGCTACAGCACCTCTTTCTTTTACTTCTTCCAGGGCTAGAAATTGCCCTTTGACCCATGAGACTAAAAATGTTTATTTTAGTGATTCCTCATTGAAAAGAGATTGGTTGTGAGAAGTAGTAGATCCTTTGCTGATGTAGAAGTTTGTCAGTCTCACTTTAAGAAGTACTGGTAATATTGCTAAAATATGATACTGCTGATGCAGTAAAGGAGCCCTACAGCTTGGATTTACTCAGACAGAAAAGCCTTTCTGTAATACCACAGAAGCAGAGAGAGCTTTTCTCATACAGGGAATGCACATTTTTTTATTGGTGAAAGAAAAATCTGAAAAATTGTGAAGTGGGTAGGATTTTCCTTTTCCTGCTGAAGGGTAGGAAGCATTGTGTGTTTATGAAATACCAGCTGATCAGGAAGGCAGGACAGCACATTTTTCATTTTGCACTGTTGGTGAGTGTAGCTTGGTGTAATCTTGATAAAATCGATAGTCATCTCAAAATGTTGGGCTCCTGTTGGGTCGAGGGGCGGGCGAGGAGGTGTGAGATGAGCTCTGGAGGACCTGCTCGCTGGAGCCTTGTCAAAGGGGGCCATCTACTGGGCCCCAGCCCTGTGCCTAAGGCACAGTCACTCAGCTACAGGGCCCAGCCTCACAGAGATGGCCAGAGATTTTCAGGGGGCAAATTCCTGATTAGAAAAGCCATTTCATCAAAAACAAGGCATTCTTGCTGGCTACATTGAGGGTTTTTTCCTAGTAATACCCTCAAGAGAGTGAAATCTGGAAGAGCTTCAAAACTACAAAAAGTTTCAACCTTGGTTTAAGGGAAGAAAGTGCCAGGAAATTAATTAAGTAGCAGACTTCTCTTTTGTGGTTTAATGAAGTGTTTTGTTCCTTCAAAATGTAAGCAAATAATAGGAAAATTAATTTGAAATGGTCAAAATAAAAAGGGAACATTTTTACCAAATGGAACTGTTTTTACCTGGTTTCTGCTGCTCACAAAGTTTTGCATGTGATATTTTGTCCTATAGTGTTCTATAGGGAAATAATGGCTTATAAAGAGCATTTTAAGAACAGGAACCAGTTCTGTCACTCTGTTTGTTTAATGAGCTTGTACACTCTCAGCTCAGAATACTTTACAGAGAGCTTTCATAGGCCAAAGAGATTTCAGTGTTGTGCTGTAAGACAATAACTCCAACTGTTATTTATTCTGAATGGAAGATATTAGGTGTCTAACCATTACTTGCAAAGCACTGTGAAGAGAGTGAGACAGAAAGCAGATTGATACCTGTTTTTAAAAATGTACTCCTTTTTAATTTCCCTACTTGCTCTTGCAAGAAAGTCTAGTGGACGGGGCAGCTGACTGATGGTGCAAGTGCAGTCACAGTGGTCGGAGCACACACTCAGCAAGTAGCACATAGTAGGGGTTAACTGCTCCCCAGCATGCACCTTCACCTGCTGCACTGGTTTAAATGTAAATCCTCCCTTGATTAAATATTTCTGAAGCTTAGAAGTGGAGAGAAGGCAAGAGCTGAGACATGGAACAGAGAGGCACAAAGGCACCTTGGAACTGTGGCAGGGAGGGCGAGCACACAAGGTCCTGGGGAGAGATGCACTGGGCTGCACTGGTGGTCCAATGAGGGATATTTCTGCATCCATGCATTGTGCTGCACTGGTGGTCCAATGAGGGATATTTCTGCATCCATGCATTGCAGAGCACGGCAGGAGGAAGGGGTGGAAAGAAGAGGAGCGGATGTG